TTTTTTTTTTTTTTTTTTTTTTTTTTTTGTTAGCTCGACTATTTGCTTTGGTCGCCTTTGCCTTTGCCTTTGCCACGCCCCCTGTCCGAGGTTATTTTTTGGGTTTTGTTGTCGGACGTCTGGCCGCCTTATTTATGTACATGTCGCATTGCATTGCATAGCTGAAGGGGCAGCCAAATGATTCGACTCCAAATGCATACATATATACATACATATATGTATATATACATATATATATGTATGCATTTGCTGCTGTGTGACTCTGCACTATCGTAAGAAAATTGCAGCATCAAAAGAACTTTTGCAGAATTGTTTGCCTTTCAGCAAATTGTTCACAGATTAAAATATGAGATTTATTTGGTGCTCAGAGTCAGTTACGGGCTCCATTATTTGCATGCAAAGAGTATCAAAGAGATATAGACTTCATATACATATGTATGTATATACATATATCAACATTAAATTTATATTTATATATCTCTACATTTATTTATGTGTGCTTGCCTTAAACAAGAGCTAATCAGAATATGGAAAATTTATTTCGTAATATTTCTATTTGCAATTTGATGTCTTCAATGCAATTTCACAGTTGACTTCAGCTCAAACATATTCATATTTATAGTGAATGCCAATTAAATAGGTCAAGGGGTCAACTTGAATGTCAACATTTACTTCACATAACTGTATATTAGTCTTATTTGTGGCCAACTCGCCTGGGATCCCCATTAGCCAGGCTCGTTTGTAATTGAACTTGTACGACTTCAGCTCAGATATTTCAGCTCATTTTAGCACAACTTCAGATTAGCGAGCGTGCTTTAGTCGGGAGTACTCGACTAGGGAATACACTGTTTGCTGTAATTCCATCGTTATGATAGATGCATCTCATCCACATATGAAACAAACAAAATACAGTCGAGTCTCGATAATTTGTACTCCACTAAATCCAATATCACGATAAATCGAAAAAAATTTATCGTCTTGAAAAAAATCGTTATCGATAATTCTCGATAGTATGAATTTTTGTGTCAATCGAAAAAAAACTGATCCTGTTGCAATTTTGAATCATCGGAACTCGACTGTATATACACATACACACACCCACAGAATAAGCATCCTATCTATCCTAACTATGTATATAATGCAGCTGTATATATGCAGCTACTATGGAAAGTTAACGGCTGCATAACTTTTCATCTAGTTGAACTTACATCCATCTTTTTTCCACAGGACAAGTTTTTAGTATTTGCATATTTAGTATTTATTTCTTTACTCAGTATTTTTCTAGTAATTTTACGAGTCCGTTAGAAAGCGGAAGAGGTATCCAGAAACTGAAATATACCAAAAGGCAGTATTTTTCGCATAGTAAATAAATTGAAAATCTTTAGACTTTAAAGTATTTAAGAGTATTTAAGTATTTAGCTCAGTATCTTCTCAAATACCTGAAAGCTACGTCAGCGACCTACCCAAACTGATTGAAGTCCAGCCACATTTCCCCTTTCCTGCTAGGCTTCAAGATTCTCGCTTTAAACAATTTACGAACCACGCACGCCCTAGGAGGAGAAGTTTCCACAGAATTCCCATTGCTGTTCGAGTTTACAATTAAAATTCGATTCTTTCTGATATTGTTTTTTTTTTTTTTTTTTCAGTCTCTTAAGCCACGTCACGCTGACAAAATTTGACCGGAAAAAATGCGGGGCACTAATTGATTTTATAGCTGCATTCATTTGAATCCTTCAGCTACGTGTTAACTCTCATATGGCTTCATATTTCAAATGTGAATATCTGATATATATACAATATATATATGTCCATATATGTGTTTATATATATTTAATTTTTTTTTTTTTTTGACTACATCTTTTTTGTATAACTGCGCCTGTCCCAGTCCTTTTCCCTGCTGCCCGCTGTGAGTCGCCTGGCTCGCTTTTATTAGCCTTTGTGCATGCCACAGATTGTTCCCTCGCTCTCTCTCCCTCTCCCTCTCCCCCTATCTCTCTCTCTCTCTCTCTCTCTCTCTCTCTCTCTC